TAGAACATTACAGCGCAGTACAGGCCCTTTGGCCCTCGATGTTGCGCCGACCTGTGAAACCAATCTGAAGCCCATCTAACCTAAACTATTCCATTATCATGGAATAAATAAAGCATTCAAAACATTTTGAACCCCCTAGAAAAATCTTGTATACCTTTTCTTGGAGAAATCTATTTTTTATTAATGGTATTCTCCAGTTTTAAATTAATCCACGATTAAGTTTTACTTGAGAAATGAGCTATCATAGAGGCTTGGGATCTGCTGTTTGTGACATGTGTACTTAAAGATCAGGAGCAAGAGACCAAACTGCATTGGTTTGAAACCTGAATGAACACAGCAGACCAAGCAGCATCATAGGAGCAGTAAGGCTGACGTTTCGGGCCTAGACCCTTTATCAGAAATGGGGGAGGGGAAGGGGGTTCTGAAATAAATAGGGAGAGAGGGGGAGGCGGATAGAAGATGGATAGAGGAGAAGATAGGTGGAGACGAAACAGACAGGTCAAAGAGGCGGGGATGGAGCCAGTAACGGGGAGTGTAGGTGGGGAGGTAAGGAGGAGATAGGTCAGTCCAGGGAGGATGGACAGGTCAAGGGGGCGAGATGAGGTTAGTAGGTAGGAAATGGGGGTGCGGCTTGAGGTGGGAGGAGGGGATAGGTGGGAGGAAGAACAGGTTAGGGAGGCGGGGACGAGCTGGGCTGGTTTTGGAATGCGGTAGGGGGAGGGGAGAAACCACAGGAAGTGCTACACCTGCCCCCACACCTCCTCCCTCAACCCCATCCCAGGCCCTAAGAAGACTTTCCACATCAAGCAGATGTTCACCTGCACATCTGCTAATGTGGTATACTGCATCCGCTGTACCCGGTGTGGCTTCCTCTACATCGGGGAAACCAAGCGGAGGCTCGGGGACCGCTTTGCAGAACACCTACGCTCGGTTCGCAATAAACAACTGCACCTCCCAGTCGCGAACCATTTCAACTCCCCCCTCCGATTCCTCAGACGACATGTCCATCCTGGGCCTCCTGCAGTGCCACAATGATGCCACCCGAAGGTTGTAGGAACAGCAACTCATATTCCGCTTGGGAACCCTGCAGCCCAATGGTGTCAATGTGGATTTCACAAGCTTCAAAATCTCCCCTCCCCCTACCGCATCCCAAAACCAGCCCAGCTTGTCCCCGCCTCCCTAACCTGTTCTTCCTCCCACCTATCCCCTCCTCCCACCTCAAGCCGCACCCCCATTTCCCACCTACTAACCTCATCTCGCCCCCTTGACCTGTCCGTCCTCCCTGGACTGACCTATCTCCTCCCTACCTCCCCACCTACATTCACCTTTACTGGCTCCATCCCCACCTCTTTGACCTGTCTGTTTCCTCTCCACCTATCTTCTCCTCTATCCATCTTCTATCCGCCTCCCCCTCTCTCCCTATTTATTTCAGAACCCCCTTCCCCTCCCCCATTTCTGACGAAGGGTCTAGGCCCGAAACATCAGCCTTACTGCTACTATGATGCTGCTTGGCCTGCTGTGTTCATCCAGCTCTGCACCTTGTTGTCTCAGATTTTCCAGCATCTGCAGTTCCTACTATCTTTGGTTTGAAACCTGCTGGCTGATTCAAATGAAAGTGTGTGCTGGAGGTTGAAAGAAGGTTAGATGAACAAATGAGTAACTAAAACCTCATTTTATCATTTTGAAAGACAATTTTAAGTCAGAAATCATATTCATTGAGAATTACTAAAATACACAATGAACCTACTCTTTGTGTTTTTATCCTTTTTCACTTTAAATGAACTATTTATTTTAACTATTTTATCCCATGAAATATTGTGATGTAAAATGCCTTCTTGTAACAAAAAAGCCCCAAAACCAATGGACTGATGATTGGAATTCAGGAAGTTGTTTGGCCTTTGCTATACATAACGTAGACAAAGTAGAGATGAGAGAGAGAGATAACAAGGTGTAGAGCTGGATGAACAGAACAGGCCAAGCAGCATCAGAGGAGCAGGAAAGCTGATGTTTCGGGTCTGGACCCTTCTTCAGAAATGGGGGAGGGGAAGTGGATTCTGAAATAAATAGAGAGAGAGGGGGAGGTGGATAGAAGAGGCGGGGATGAGGCTGGTAGGTAGGAGGTGGGGGTGGAGCAGATAAAGTGGGAGGAGCGGATAGGTGGGATAAAAGACGGACAGGTCAGGGATGCAGGGATGGAGCCAGTAAAGGTGAGTGTAGGTGGGGAGTTAGGATGGAGGTAGATCAGTCAAGGGATGACGGACAGGTTAAGGAGGCGGGGATGAGGCTGGTAGGTAGGAGGTGGGGGTGGGGGTTGAGGTGGGAGGAGTGGATAGGTGGGAGAAAGGATGGACAGGTCAGGGAGGTGGAGATGAGCTGGTCTGGTTTTGGGATGTGGTAGGGGGAGGGGAGATTTTGAAGCTTCTGAAGTCCACATTGATAACATTGGGCTGCAGGGTTCCCAAGCGAAATATGAGATGCTGTTCCTGCAACCTTCGGGTGGCATCGTTGTGGCACTGGAGGAGGCCCAGGGTGGACATGTTGTTCAAAGAGTGGGAGGGGGAGTTGAAATGGTTCGCAACTGGGAGGTGCAGTCGTTTGTCGTGATCCGAGCATAGGTGCTCTACAAAGCGTTCCACAAAGTAGAGATTGCTAGATTGGTAGTCACAGATCTAGATGGCTTTTTTGGCAGGCACTAAATTAGACTACAGGGTGCTGGGTCAGAAACTCTTGCTTTCCTGCCTCCACCCGATTAAGTCTGGGATGTTAATACCTGTGGATGGCCTTTCCAACTGGGCTCTAATTGTTGCCTTTCAATGGGGCTTTAATGCCGTCTGTATGGCCTTCTCCCACTGCCACTGGTGTTCAACCTGAGGCAGGCAGGGTGTTACCATGGAAAGAACCCACAACCCTGCTCACTGCTATCTGCCCAGTCCACTGCTTCTTGCCCCTGCTCACTGTTATCTGCTCCAGCTTACTGCTACGTGCTCCAGCCGACTGCTAACTGCTCCTGTCCACTGCTATCTGCTCCAGCTCACTGCTACCTGCTCACTGCCATCTGCTCCCAGCTGACTACTGTATGCTCCTGTCCACTGTTACCTGCTCACTACCATCTGCTTTTGCTCACTGGTATCTGCTCCAACCCACAGACACTTCTTCATGATTCCTGCCTGCTGGTACCTACTCCTGTCTGTTGCTTCCTGCTCACTGACACACCTTTGTGACTTGCTTTAATAGTTTTTATATTGTTATTGGGGCCACTGTCAAACTTCAAACCACCATCCTATTTGAAATGATGGGTTATTCAGATAGGGTACTGTCATGATCTGGAGGAACACAATGCAAACTGTTTCCTTTTGCAATCAAATAGCGTCATGGGCCTAATCCACCTGATGCCACCTAATCCTGTCACTCTGATGGGTGGAGAATGCCATATACCCCACTCTTAGTGTTGATGGACACAGAATATGCCCACACCACACAGTGTCAGATCTGGTACTGCCTCATGTAGGTGAATGAAACATAGAAACGCAGAAAATAGGAACAGGAGTAGACCATTCAGCCCTTCCAGCCTGCTCCATCATTCAATGATCATCCAACTCAGTACCCTGTTCTCACCTTCTCTCCATACCCTTTAGCCCTAAGAACTATAATGCCTTCTTGAAAACGTTAAATGTTTTCGCCTTAACTGTTTCCATGACTGAGATTGCACAGGCTCACCAAACCTCTGGATGAAGAAATTTCTTTTTATCTCAGTCCTTGGCCTATCCCGTATCCTTAGACGGTGATCCCTAGTTCTGGACTCCTCTGCCATTTGCAACATTCTTCCTCCGTTTAACCTAGGCCTGTTGGAGTTCTATAGGTTCTCCTCATTCTTTGAATGCCAGTGAATATAGTATGAACTGATACATTCTGTCTTCATACAGCAGTCCTGCCATCCCAGGAAGCAGTCTCATAAATTTTCATTGCACTCCTTCTATAGTCAGAACATCCTTCTTAAGAAAAGGAGACCAAAAGTACATTTGGTCTCACCAAGGCCCTACAATTGCAGCAAGACATCTCTGTACTCGAATCCTCTCGCTATGAAAGCTAACATACTCGCCTGCTGCACCTGCATGCTTACTTTCAGCAACAGGTATACAAGGAGACCCACGTCTCATTGCACTTCCCCAACTTCCAATATGACATGGGCCTCACCATCTCCGTCAGAGGCTGAGTGACAATACAGAGTTCCCTCCAAGGTCAATTGGCAATACAGAGGGGCGCATCCCCAAGGGATAATTGACAGTAACAGGGCTCCCTACACCAAGAGACTGAGTGACAATACAGAGCCTCATCCCAGGAAATGGGGGCGGGGGGGTGCAATGACCTAGTGGTATTATCGCTGGACTGTTAATCCAGAGACCCAGGTAACATTCTAGGGACCAGGGTTCAAATCCCACCCCAGCAGACAGTGGAATTTGAATTAAACAAAATATCTGGAATTAAGAATCTAATGGTGACGATGAATCCATTGTTGATTGTTGGAAAAAACCCATCTGGTTCACTAATGCCCTTTTAGGGAAGGAAACTGCCATCCTTACCTGGTCTGGCCTACATGTGACTCCAGACCCACAGCAATGTGGTTGGCTGTGAACTGCCCTCTGGGCAATTAGGGATGGACAATAAATGCTGCCTAGCCAGCAACACCTTCATCCCCTTAATGAATAAAGGAAAAAAAAATTGACTGACACAGAGACCCCTCCTCCCAGGTGGTAACTGACAATCCACCTTGACCCCAGTGTGATTGATGATAAATAGACCCTCCCTCCCAGGATGTGATTGAGAATACAGAAACCTTTCCCCACCCACCCAGGGGGTGATTGACAGTACAGAGACCCCACCCTCCTAATGGGTGGAGCTGCACGGTTGCCCCGCCCCTATGGGTGTGATTGATGCCCCCCACCCCGCCCCCTGTGGGTGATTGACGGTCAGTTCGTCCCGCCCCCTGTGGGTGATTGACGGCTCTGCTGTCCCACCCCTGACGCCGGAGTTCAGAGGAGGAGGCTGGACTGAGGAAGATCTTTGAGCCGTACCAGTGTTGACCATGGCTGGATCTGGGTGTCCCAGGCTCTCGTTGTTCGTGGTCGGCCTGTCGTTGTGGTCACTGTTGTCGGGGAAGGTGAGTGTGAGCCGGGGCTGGGGCAGTAGCGAGGTCCGATGGTCGGGCAGGGGCCCGGGTTCTAGGCCTTAGGCCGTGGAGTCGATTGCACTGACCGCCAGTGAAAAACTGCCCTGGGCTGGGGAAGCCCACGTGTGCTCGCCAGAAAGGACGAGTCATTCTTTTCTTCATCAGGAAAGCACTTCAGAATAAAACATTATGAGTCTGATCGGGCTATTTGTTATTTTTATTTGATTGTATCAGTACTTGTGATAAGTGCAGAAATCCTTAAACGTCAGAATAGAGATCTCTGTAACCCACTGAAGCTCATCTCACCATCATTAATCACACAGTTAGGGACCCAGATTTTTTTAATTTCGTGTTTGTGATATGTATATCACCAGCAGTGCACAATTTTTCTGGCTGTCTTGATTAAGTGATGGTGGACCATCTTCTTGAATGCTTGCAGACTTTGCTGCCACTGGTGTGTCTGGAACTTTAGAATGGTGGCACCATTCAAATGGAACGGTGTGTGTATGACTTGTTAGGAGAAGTTGGAGGTGAAGGTGTACCCGTCACATTGTTGCTCACGTCCTTCTCGATGTCACCAGTTACATAGGAGGGAAGTGCTGCTGAAATATTCTTGGTGTGTTGTTTTAGTGCATCCTGCAACTAATGTAGCTGCAGATCATCTCTCCCACCGCCCTCTACCCCCTTCATCCAGTATATGCTTGTGACAGCCTTCATGTGGGCATGTATAGCCAAGTTTGTGGATGACACAAATAAGTGGCAGGCAAGTGGTGAGGACAACAGAGTTTGCAGCTGGTTGCACACACGTTAAGTGAGTGGGATACCGTATGGGATTGTGTGAGGTTATGCAATTTGGCAGGAAGAATAGAGAAGATGAACATTATTAAATGAGGAAAAACTGCAGAAAGCTGCAGCACAGAGGTTTTGGATTTCTCTTGCATAAATCACAAGCTATCATATAAATAATGGGAAGGCAGATGGAATGTTGGAGGAACACAGCAGGTCAGGCAGCACCAGAGGAGCAGGAAAGTTGACGTTTTGGGTCGGGGCAGCTCTTATTATCTCTCAGATGGAATGTTGGCCTTTCTTTCAAATGAAATTGTGTTTAAAAACAGGGAAGTCTTGCTGAAACTATACACCAGGCTAGTTAGATCATACCTGGAGTACTGTGAACAGTTTTGGTTCCTCATCTAAGGAAAGATAACTGGTATTGGAGGCAGTCCAGAAAAGGTTCACTGGATTGATCCCAACTACGAAGGGATTATTTTATGAAGAGAGGTTAAGTAATTGGGCTTTACTCATTGGAGTTTAAAAAATGATGGTAACTTTATTTAAACAAACAAGAATTTTGGGCAACTCAAATAAAATCAGAAATACTGTGGATACTGGAAATTTGAAATGAAAGTAGTGCTGGAGAATCTCAGCTGCATCTGTGGGGAGAGAAAGAGTTAATGTTTCAAGTCCAGTATGACTCTGACAGGACTTGACAGGTTAGATATGGAGAATTGGAAGAGTCTAGGACTAGAGGGCATAACTTCAGAGTAAGGGGTTGCTTATTTGAGACAGGAGGAATTTCTTCTCTGGGGGGTAGTGAATCTGGAATTCTTTATGCCAGAGGACTGTAGAGCCTCTATCATTAAGTATTTTCAAGGCTGAGATGAGCAGATTTTTCAATTAGTAAGAGAATCCGACAATGGAGAAATTGTAGGAGAATGGAATTGAAAATTATCTGATTAGTCATGATGTCATTAAGTGGTGGAGGAGACTTGATGGCTGAATGGTCTACTACTTCTACATCTTAATGGTTTTGTTAGCCTACTTATGATTGTACAATTCACATGTTGCCGATATATTGAATTGTTCTCATCTAAAACTGGTAGGGATATTTTGCGTGAGCCTAGGATGGAATGTACTTGTCCTGTTAGGGAAGGTTTAAACTAGATGATATATTCCCATCTTCCTGCCTAAGAGGAGCTCAGATTCGATGGAAGCAAAACTAGTAAAAGGAAGTCGATGGGTAATCAAAAAATAGAAGAGGATAAAGCAATGGTAAGCGTCACATTGGATCAAAATGGAAAACAAGCTCAATAAAGCTGATTAAAGGCATTCTATCTCAGTTTGTAGCATTCACAAAAGGGTTGAAGATTTGAATGTACACATTGAGGTAAATGGATATGATTTAGTTTTCATTACAGAGATTAAAGGGTGGTTGAGATTTGGAACTGAATAACCAAGAACTATCTCCATTCAGATGGGGTATAAAAATGGAAAAGGAAGTGGGGTAGCACTCCTACTAAGGGATGACATCAGTCCAATTAGTAAGAGAGGATCTTAGATCAAAGGGTCATGATGTAGAATCAGTTTGGGTAGAATTAAGACCGCAAAGAGAAGCAAACATTAGTGGTTGTTGTTCATAGAATACCAAACTGCACATAACACGGATAATACAGGAATAATGAGTGACTTTAATTTACATAACCCTGACTGGTTTAACAAAGTCAGCATTAATGCATTGGCAGATAACTTTTTGTAGTATGTACAAGATGGCTTTATGGAACAGTATGTTGAGAAAGCAACTAGGCATCAGGCTATTTTGGATTTGGTATTATGTAATGAGAAAAAGCTAATGAATAACCTTCCTGTAATTAAGGGAAAATGGTGACCATGATAGGAGAGAATTTAACATGAAATTTGAATATGACTTTGTTCATTATGAAGCTAAAGTCTTAAATCTGAGCAAAAGAAACTGAGGGTGTGGTGGACAAGTTAGCTCGGGTTGATTGGGAAATTACACTAAATGATTCGATAGTAGTTAGGCAATGGCTAGTACTTAAAGAAACACTACGAGATCAACAACAGACATACATTCCTCTAAGACACAAACAGCCAAAGGGAAAGGTAAATCAACCATTTTTAATAAATGTTAAAGATTGCATTAGATCAAAGGAAATGGCTGATTTAAAAAAAAATGTCAAATAGTGGTAAACCTGAGGATTGGAAACAATTTAGGGTCCAGCAAAGCAGAGTCAAGAAACTGGTGATGAAAGAGAATAGAGAATATGAATGCAAGCTAGTGGGAAATATAAAAGGGAAATTGAAAAACCTTCTACCAATATATGAAAAGAAAATGATCAGCAAGGATGAACATGGGCTCATTACAGATGGGGACTGAGAATTTATAGTGGAGAACGGGGAAATGGCAGAGAAAGTAAGTAGCTACTTTTCATCTGTCTTCACAGAAGATGTAGAAAATTTCCCTGAAACACTAGGTGACTAAGGGACTTGTGTAACTGAAGAGCTGAAAAGAGGTACGAGTTGAAAAACCAACTGGATTAAGGGTGATAAATGTCCTTGACAAGATAAACTTCAACCCAGCGTGTTGAAAGAAGTAGCAATAGAGATAGTGGATACATTGGTGGATACTTTGCATAATTTGATTGATTATGGAAAGTTTCCAGCTCATTCGAAAATGTTAAATGTAACCCCACTATTTAAGACGGGAGCGAGAAGGAGATTGGAGAACTACAAACCTGTTGATTAATATCCTTCGTGGGGAAAATGTCAGAATTTATTATAATAGAAATGATAACTGAATATTTGGAAAAGAATGGCAAAATAGGACAGAGTCAGCATGGTTTTATGAAAGACAAATTACGTTTGACAAACTTGGAGATGTCTGAGGATGTTATCTGTAGCATAGACAAAAGAAGAACCCTTGGATTTGGGTCATTTGGATTTTCAGAAGGCTTTTGATAAGGTCCCACACAGGAGGTGAATAATAAAATTAGAGCACATGGGATTAGAGGAATATTCTAGTATGGATTGAGAATTAGTTAATAAAATAGACTGTAGGAATAAATAGATTATTCTCAGGGTGGCAGGCTGTTACTAGTGTGGTACTGTAAGGATCAGTGCTAGGTTTGTGACTGTTCACAATCATTTTAAATGATTTAGATGTGTGGACCAATTGTAATGTTTACACATTTGCTGATGACACAAAATTGATGGGGATGTAAATTGTGAGGAGGGTGCAAGAAGGCTTTAAGGGGACTTGGTCACGCTAAGTGAGCTAGAACACAGTGAATGGAATATAATGTAAATAGGAGTGGTTACTAACGTTCATAAAATAAAGACAATTTTTTTTTAAAGAAGAGAGTTTGGGAAGTATGAGTGTCCAAAAGGCTGTAGTGTCCTTGTCCATAAATAACTAAAAGCTAGAATGTAGATGTCACAAACAATTAGGCATATGCGGTGTTGGCATTAATTTCAAGGGGATTTGAGCACGGTGCCTTGCTGCAGTTGTGTAGAATTTCATGAGAATCCCCCCTGGAGTAATGTGTACTGTTTTGGTCTCCTTACATAGCATTTACATATACTTAGTATAGAGGGAGTCCAACAGTATTTCACCAATTAATCCCAGGGATGGTGGGGACTACCGTATGAGGAGAGTTTGAGAAACCTGTACCTGTGTTCTCTAGAGTTTCGATAATTGAGAGATGATCTGATTGAAACTTACAAAATTCCTGCAGGGTATAACAGGCTATAGAATGAATGTTTCCCAGGGACATAATCTCAGGATAAGAGGCAAGTGATTTAAAACGGAGATGAAGAGGAATTTCTTTGTTCACAGGATGATGAATCTTTAGAAATCTTCTTCCAGGGAGATGTGGAAACTCTATCATTGAGCAGGTTCAAGACAAAAGTCGATTGGTTTCTGGAAACTAATGACATTAGGAACATTGAAATAGTGTGGGGAAAAATGACATTGAGGAGATGAGCAGCCAGGCAGCCAAGTTCTAAATGTTGGGACAGGATTGAATGGCTGAATGGCTTACTTTACAGCAACTTCCTGCTCACTGTCACTCCCTTCTCTCACCACCTTCCCAACTATTGGAACCCTTGACTCCCTTGCAGATCAAAAATCTATCTAGCTCACCCTTCAATGACCCCTTCACCCCTGTTGCCTGGAAGAGAATCCCAAAAATTTTCTA